AACTACTAGATTGTTTTCACTTGTTTGCTGTTAGAAATAATGCTGTGCTGAACATTTCTTATAGATAAATCTTTATGAACAACTATGATTATTTCCTTGGCATATTTTTCTAGAAGTGGAGTTATTGCATTCAAAGGGTGTGAATATTTTTGAAGGTCTTAATATGTTGCTGTCTAGATAGACTGTATTAATTTCATTGTTTTTATTTGTAAAATTGATTCATGGTAAGATGGAACATTTTTAAGATATTTAATTTCCATTTGCATTTCTTCTTTTGTGAATATTTAAGAATTCTAAGATCAGTGATCAAAGAACTACCAAAATATTATTATCAGTTATCATAAAACATTCATATTCACTTACGTACTTTTAAGTGAATGGTAACATGCTTTAGGTAACAGACATTAGAAATTTTAGACAGTTTTATAACAACAAATTATACTTTTTCAATTTTTTTAGGTAAAACTACAATACTATGTTAATCATTACCAGGTGATGTGCTTTACTGAAATTATGTGTATAGGAGACTATGAAACCATCTTAACTCAGTGGGTTAAAATAATTATTTTAGAACTACTCTATATTCAAAACATTTCTTAAAGTTAGATTCAAATTCTATGTATACTTATTTCAATCTACTTATAAGTACATAAAGCTTTCACTAGAAAGTAAAAACTAAAGAGGAAAAAAGTGTTTACAGAAACTTCGAAATCTGAGCACATAAACGGCTATACATACATTAAGAAAATCTTTGAATCCAAGTTCATATATTTCTCCCAAGAGGAACATTTGTTTCCTTTGGTGCTGTTAACAAAAAACGACCACCACAGTTTATGTTTTGCTGTGTAAAATAAATCAAGTTAAGAACAAGTTGATACCAAGATTTAGTAACTGGAAAATTGAAAGTCTTCAGTATTGAAGATTTAATTGTGAGAACAATTGCATGCATTGCAGCTGAGTGTAAATGGGTACCAACTGACTGGGAACTAATTCAGCCATGCATGTGAATAACTTTTTTAAGAAAAAGAAAGGCATGAATTTATATCTTCTTCATCACAAACTCCATTGAATTTTTGAATGTAGAAATCTACAATAATGAAGAAAAAGGAAAGGAGGCCCTGAGTTGGCAGGAGAGTGCAAGTAGGTGGGAGAGGATTCACAGATGAAGGGGAATATAGGGAGCTACAGCATAGAATAACAGGGAGCTTTGGGAGGCAGGAGGATGACTGCCCAGCAGAAAACGGAGATACTCTAGATTTAGAGTCAGCAGATAGGATGGAGGGCAAGCTTAAGAAGAGAGGTATAAAACGGCAATTAAGTGAAGGTATTTTAAGGAAAAATCTACTATCTCCATACTATCTCTTCTACTCCAGCTTATTCTATAAGATGCCTAATATTTACCTTCAAGGAAAAAAAAAGGGGGGGGGGG